TCAGAAGTTTTAAAAAATTATTTTAGGGGAAACAGTCAATAGGATTAAGAGAATATTCTCTCAATATCATGACTGAAAGTTCAGTTAGAAGTCTATGAGTACACCATTCCTCATGAATTTATTTCTCCCCATCTATGGGGAGAAATTCGATGATGAGAACTTCGTCCTGAAGCACACAGGTCCTGGCAAATGCCGGGCCAAACACAAACGGTTCCCAATTTTTCATCTGCACTGCCAAGACCGAGTGGTTGGACAGCAAGCACGCGGTCTTCGGGAAGGTAAAAGAGAGCGTGTCCAGGAACAGCAAGGCCAGCAAGAAGGTCACCATCACTGACTGTGGACAGCTCTAACGCAAATAACTTGTGTGTATCACCACCACCAGACCATTCCTCTAGCTCAGGACCCGGAGTCCTACCTGCTCAAAACACCCCATCATCTCTGCTCTTCCTGCATTTCTTTGGGCTCTATATTTTCCTTGCTCCCCTCCAAACATAGCTGGATTGCAATTAAGTTTATGGTTATGAATAAAAACTAGATAATGAAAAAAGTCTTTATCAAAGTCTTTAACCAAAAGGGTGATTTTTTTAAAAAAAAATTACATTTGAATTTGTTGCCTAAGATATTTTATAGAAAATTACTTTGTAGAATTGGTATTGACTCTCAAAATCCTGCATGAAACCACCCTTCACTTGAAATGTGAATAACTGAGTGGGCCCCCCAGGCACCATATTCTTATGTTGAAATCTTAACCCCTAATGTGATGGCATTTGGAGATGAGGCTTTTGAGAGATAACAGTTAGTGTGTGATGAGGGTAGGGCCCTCATGATTGGATTAGTGCCCTTACAAGAACAAATACCATAAATTTTCCCTGTTCTCTTTTGTACACATTGAGGAAGGACCATATATTCACATAGTGAGAAGCTGGCCATCTGCATGCCAGGAGGAAAGCCAACGTGAGGAACCAAATAGGCCAGCACCTTGACCATAGTCTCTAGGATTGTGAAAAGATAAATCTCTATTGTTTAGTGCACCCAATGTATAGTCTTTTGTTATGGCAGCCAGAGTATTTTGGACGCTGTTTTATAAATTCATGATCACCCATCTCAAATGAGTCCTCAAACATTAGTCATATGAAGTACTATTTAAATCCTCCAGCAAGCAACGTTATCTTCTATTTTGTAGAGAAAAAAGCCATCAGGTGGGAACTTCCTTGACTTCTTAATAATGATGATTCAAAGCTATATCTGTCCCATCCTCACATCTTTCCCTCTGATCACAATCAAGAACTGGTAATCTCAGCCGAAGTACAACCTGCCTGCCTGTGCTTGAATGCCATCCTTTTTCTGCATCCTCACTTCCTGTTTCAGTTTGGGGGTTATTTTGCAAGGGGAACAATATAACACAGGAAACATATTCTATAAGATTATTTATAATAATCACCCAAAGAATGATATACAAAAGAGTGCAGGAAATCTGTCCACACACCAAGACCAAGGAATCCAGCTGAGGGCCTGGATCCCATGGAAATATCCTGCATGAGTTCAGCTGAAGACCTAGAGCTCATAACAATGCTTCCCACGAGTACAACTGGAGACCCAGTGCCCATAACAGTACCTCATGCAGGCCTATATCATGGATCTGCTCTGGGAAGGCCCAAAGGTCAGTGGTAGAATCTAGGAAGTCTGTGTCAGCAGGATGAAGGATCTGTGTTAGCAGGCTGAGGGATCTGCACTGGAACCAGGAAGCAATGCTCAAAGTAAGAACCAGAGCTGCCTCAAAAAGTACCACAGACATCCTCAGCAACAGTGAGGTCCTGAGCTCCTCTGATGATTAGGAAAGCCAAGTTCCCATCAGGAAAGCCAACGCAGCAAGCTTCTCTAGGAGACAGAGAATGCAACATCTTCCCCTCCAGAGCCAGGAATTGATGCTCAAAGTGAGGACCAGAGCTCCACCAAAGGAGGAGCTGAACCAAAGCTATTCTCAGTGTCAACAAGGTTCCGAGCTCCTTGGAGGATGAAAACAGCAAAATTCATCAGGAAAGCCAGCATGGCAAACTCCTCCAAAAGAACCAACAGCTCCTTACAGCTTCTATCAGCTCCCAACAGCCTTTCTCAGCTCCAAACAGCCTCTCTCTGTTCCCAACAGCCTCACTTCTTCTCCAGTTCTGCCTCTTATGTTGCTGGCAGCAACCCTCAGGTGGGCCTCCCATACCCAGCACCATGCTTACTCAGTTCAGCTGGGTGTTATAAATTGACCACCAGTTGTCAACCCATCGCACTTCTCATCATTTTTCCCTTTCTTGCATTACTAACCTTTCCTACCAGTAAATTCATCCCATCAGCTTTTTTTTGGTTTTTTTTTTTTTTTTTTTCGGTACCAGGAATTGAACTCACGACCTTGTGCTTGCCATTCCATCAGCTTTAAAATGTGCTCAAGTGCCTTTCATGACAAGTAGCAAAATAGGAGCAATAAAGCAACAAAACCCCTCTATTCACCTAACTGCCTGTATGCCCTCCCCTTTCACAATAGCTTTTTAAAAGTTTTTGATCTTCACTTCTCACTGACGTTTCACTCACGCTTTGGCTTTCACACCTACTCTTCTTTTAAACGTTTACTAGTGCACATTTCTTTATAGGAGGGCTTTTTGCAGAAGGAAATTAGCTCTTCATCTAAGTTTCAAAACCCTTCCCCATCTGTCATTTTTTGTTTGATTTTGCTTATAGTGGTACCTGATTTATGGATCTGAAAAACAGTTGTATCATTAATTTTTTCCTTCTTTTCTGTATGGGTGCTAGGTTTCAGACAGAGCAAGGTCACTTCATTTTTGACACTAAAATAAACTGTGGTCTGGTAATTTCTTAGTATTATAACATTCTGTATCTGAGGAATTGTATGTTACACTTATAGCTTTGTTTCTTTTGAGGAGGAGGAGAAGCTAGAAAAGTGGTGAATGAGGATGGTGTCTCCACTCAGTACTACACAACTCCTAGAGGGCTGATTAAGCATCTGCAGTTTTCATAGTTTTTACGGTGAATCTTCTTGTGTCTCTACATAGCTCTTATGTAAATGTTCAAATAAATAAAGAATTGAAATAGGTGCCAAAAAGAAATTTGAAAAACAATATAAAAACTAATGAGGCTCTTTAGTACTATACCATGTATTGAATATAACTGATTAGCACTCTCCAGATTAGCAATCTAGAAAAAGGAAGACCCAGACGACTCAGGAAAAACCATCCTTGTTCAAACAAGGCCCCCCAGTGGCAGTTTAATGACATGCTGTACAAAGAAAAAAAAAAAAAAAAACTTGTCCTATGGCGAAATCTAAGCAAGTACCAATATGTTAACCGCATCGTAAAAGTGACAGATGAAAAATAACATTACCTAATCACTAAGGTGGAATTTTACTAACTTCAGTCATAAATATGATTTCGCAGTACAAATAACATGATAGTGCACTTACTGCTGAGAAGCCAACGTTGAGCATAACAACACTTCACTTTCCTTGTTCTAAGGTGACTTTTCTTGTTCTTGGTACATGCCTCCGAAGCATGTGTGCCCTCTCCCTACACTGGGACACACCAAACATAGGTGACTAATGGCTTTTTATTGTTTTTCCTATGCAGGATTAATCTGTGGTTTAAAAAATAACAGCGTCAATTTGAGTATTCCACATTGCCCTATACAGTGCATTTGTTTCCTGGTGGCTACTTCTAAATTCATACTATTGGCCTAGCAAGAAGAGACAGCTCCTAAGAAGGGAAGCTTCCTGACAACACCTTCATGTAACACACGGTAGAGTAGCCATGTTTGGAAAACAGCTCCTTTGGTATTAATGTGAAACAAAGTTTAAAGCCTGTCTAAATTATTTTCTCATGATACTGACGTGTATGTAGTGTAATAACTTGGTTAAGACATATTTTCTCTCTGTATTTTTATCTACCATAATAAGACTTCTTAAGTAAAGAGATGAATCTTTGCCCCAGTGATTTTTTTTTTTTTTAATAGGGAGGCGGAGGCAGGAGAATTGCTGTGAGTTCCAGGCTAACCTGGGCTACACAGGGAGTTCAAGACCAGCCTGGCCCGGCGTGGTGGCACACGCCTGTAATCCCAGCACTCAGGAGGCTGAGGCAGGAGGATCGCTGTGAGTTCGAGACCAGCCTGGGCTACAAAGTGAGCTCAAGGCCAGCCTGAATTACACAGCGAGACCCTGTCTCAAAAAGACAAACAAAACAAAACAAAACAAAACAAAAAAGACCAGCCTGAACTGCATAGAGATACTGTCTCCAAAAAAAAACACCAAAAAACAAAAAATCTGAATTGGACAGTTTATATTGTAAAACACACACACGAAACTGTACCAGTTAAATGCAATAATGTTGAGATGGGACATAAATTTTAGTTTTTCTTTTTTAAATAGTCAATAGCAGCAGACTTCTTTTTTCAATAAATCTTCAAAATCTCACTCATTTACCGATGCTCATAACTTAAATAAAAGGTACAGCAGGCTGTCCCCGTTCACTCGTTGTTCTCACGTTTACAGCCGTGCCTCCACAACCAAGTGTACAGGCATCTGCAGAACAGGTCACAACGTATTTCTGTAACAAATTCCACATACGAATTTACAACTCTGTGCGGAGAATTTTACAAACGAAGACACAACAGCAGGGTCGCCTGCCTTCAGTCATCAGCAAATACGGTGAAGTGTGACCTAGCGAGCTTAAACAAAGCTTTTCAATTTTTAAAAACCTCAGAAAACAGTAACCTACAGTTTTCATACAAAACTCTAATTAAAAAAAAAAAAAAGCATTCAACGTAGCACAGGACTCCTGTACCCTGCACCTGACAGAACCTCCGGTGTCACGGCACAATGTATAAGAACGGAAATATCTATACTTAAAGATATATCCTGTAACTTTCTTTGATAGAAATTTCAAAAACAAAAGCGGAAGTGATATGTATTTTGCAGCCACTAAAACTGTGGAATTTCTCTAAGAATAATGCCCACCGTGACCTCCAGTCACAGGGGAGGGACCCTAGAGGACGCGCTCCGCTGGGGCTCCCGGCGGCCCGGGCGCAGGTGGAAGCCGCGCACCGCCGAGCGTCCTGGGCGATTTCCTCTCGGGCCACCGCGGGGCGGGCTGTCTCCGCCCCGGAGCGCGAGAGGCAGAGGGGGCCCCGCCCTTCTTGGGAACGAGCCCAGGTCAGGCGCAGGAGCCGCTACCGAAGCGGTGGAGTCCAGACCCTCAAGCTGGACTCAGCCGCTCAGGGACGGCCGCCCCAGGGTTCGCCGTAGCTCCCAGACGTCCGGGGGCGGCTCGCCGCCACGCAGCTCCGCTAGCCGGGCGCTTGACAGCTGCCCACGCGTCTGGGCGGGCCTGAGTGCTCGATTTTAAATACCACCGCGGTAGGCCCCGCCTCTTACGGGCTGTGATTGGCTCGAGGTGGTGCAGCGTTGATCCGATTGGTCTGGGAGGCCGGGGCTTCGCGCGCGAGGCTGGGGGA